AATATTTTCTAGCTTTTCATCGTTATTTTCCTTAGATGTTGAAGGCTGACATTATGAAATAGAAGATCTACCTATTATAGTTGAAAATGGAGGTTCTATAATTGGACTTCTTTTTATTAACGGAGTAGTTATTATTGGTTGAAAATTAGTTTCATTGAATATTCTATTATTAGTCATTTGGTGATTCAAGGGATAATAAAGGGGTAAATGATTTATCTATATAAATTCTATCTTCTGTTTTAAATGTAATACTATGATGAGAATTTGTTAATGTATAATTTATTTGATATGTAATAGTAAATGGATGATTACCTTTTATCATAAAATTTTGTCTTAATAATTTATATCGTACAGTAATACTATTGCTTAAATTTTTATCTTTAAGACTTAATCCTAATTGAAAATTAATATCAAAATTTATTTTTCCTTCAATTAAATTACCTTCTCCTTTTGCAATAATACTTTCTTGGTTATTAATTATACGATCATCTCTGATTTCTAATTCTATTGGTGTATTTAAATTACTTACAGTACTTTTTAAGATTATTTGAATAGTTGATATATGAATATAAGCAATTTTTATTCTATCTGTTTCTTTAATATGAGATAATCTATTTCTAATTTGTTGTTTATTTATTATGGGTATAGTAATATTTCCTTGAGTTAATTCAATAGGTATTGCTTGTTCTCCTATAATTTTTCCATAATATATAATATTTTTTCTAGAAAAGAAATTTTTAAATGTGTTATGTCTAAAATTGTGTCTTTCGGATAGTGTGAAATTTAATTTTCTTATAGCGTCTTTATTGATGTTATTTTTATTAATTAAAGCATCAAAAGTGTATCCAGATTCATTTTCTTCGTTATTAATAACTATTGGTGAGTTTTCTATTTCTTGAGACATTTTTATAGTATTAAATCTTCTTTCGATAAATATTTTAATTGTTGATAACTTTTTTAAATATGAATATTTAAAAATAATGGTTATTCATTATCATGTTTATGATGCTGCATATGTATATTTTCTTATTAACTATATATTGAATAATAAGAACGTTACTTAGCTCTGATACCAAATTGAAAAACATGACGGAATTAAAAATATGTTAAAAGAATTATACCTGAATGATGCGTCGTAGTGATCTGATGATGGATTGTTTGAGTATGATATGATTATATTGGATATGTTTGGATAGGGTTCTGCTATTCAGAAATAGAAAACTATTTCAACAGAAGAAGATTGAGAACAACTCAAATCTATATCACAAATCACTCTGCTTTATTCACTAAGGGTAAAGCCCTTTATATAGGCTCCAAAGAGCTAATTACACACGGAATCTTTACATTATTGCAATCGTTTGATTGCAAGAAGACAAACTACTTTACATAAGACTTTATGTCACATATATAATAATACTACACACTTACCGACACTTTTACATAATGACAAATTACATATAATCGTTATTTTCAATAATGTATGTCTTTGATATCTTCTCAATAATATCTTAATATCTTCAATATTCCTCCTGCCTCCAAAGTGTGTAGTATTATTATATATGTGACATAAAGTCTTATGTAAAGTAGTTTGTCTTCTTGCAATCAAACGATTGCAATAATGTAAAGATTCCGTGTGTAATTAGCTTTTTGGAGCCTATATAAAGGGCTTTGCCCTTAGTGAATAAAGGAGAGTGATTTGTGATATAGATTTGAGTTGTTCTCAATCTTCTTCTGTTGAAATAGTTTTCTATTTCTGAATAGCAGAACCCTATCCAAACATATCCAATATAATCATATCATACTCAAACAATCCATCATCAGATCATTACGACGCATCATTCAGGTATAATTCTCTTAACTTATTTTTAATTCCGTCATGTTTTTCAATTTGGTATCCCGGTATACATACAAATACATAAACACATGCAAAAAATCACAAAGATAAATAGCATACAATATAATCGTCAGGCCCCGCCCGACATCGGACCCCGCCCGGTAAACATATCAGAAAACATACATGCATAATTGGGTATTTGATAGAAATTTTATATAAGGATTAAAAAGAAACATACCTATAATCTCTAATGTTACATTACTACATGTTTTTTGTTTCAAAATTAGGTATTTGAGATTGTGTTCTAAAATAAACTAACAATTTTTTGATGAAAGTGTTTATTAGTTTGTGTAGCAGCAAACCATTTTTTTAAATGTTTGGATTAAATGACAAAAAAACTATAAGTGATATTTGTTTGACAAAGCGTTGTAATTAAACAAAAAAGGAGAGGGAAAGACAAATTAAGTACAAAATCCATGCATTTATTTATAGTCATTTATCACCAAAAGGAACATGAATTTATCCATCTTCATGCAACTAAAATTCAGATATAGATAGGGATATCAAAAACTTCTGTAGGACCCCGATTCCGTACGAGATTAACTTTTTAAAAAATTCGGAGACGGGGTCGATGGCGGGGGTGGAATTAAACCCTGTTTTATTTTTGGGACCGGGGGCGGAAGTGGGTATTTCCGTCCAGTACTCCCGCAGGGGGGGGGGGGGGGGGGCGTTTTGTATATATATCAATAACAATATATAATCTAATTTTAGGGTTTCTTGACGTTTTTCCACTTCACAACATACGCCGATAAGATAGTGGTTTGGTCATATATTTTTGGACATGTCGTGTTTTTAAGCCTATAAAACGGGGGAACGGGAGATGGATCGGGGGCTATGTAAACGGGGGATTCGGGGGCGGGGGCAACTATTTCCGCTCCCTTTGACATCCCTAGATATAGAGAAAAGTTAAGACGGAACATGTTGCTGAAATGTTGCAAAACATGATTTTTTTTATTAAATTCACATATAGTTTTTATTATATATATATATATATATATATATATATATATATATATATATATATATATATATATATAGTAGAATTGGTACGGTACCAATTCATTTTTCTCTAAACCGTGTATCGTACCAAGTATAATTGGTATAAAAAATTTTCTACCGGTACCGTACCAAGTATACTTGGTACCAATATATTTGGCTAGCAACAAGTTTGGTTGATACAAATTGGTAATGGTATATACCAAATTCTTTTAATTTTCTATTGTAAGATTTAAAAATAAGCAATGACATCGGGTAATTTTTGTGTTTAGTATAAAAATCAGTTACGTAGTTCTTTTAATTTACAAAAGAATTCTATTGAAATAACGTTAAAGTAACGTTTTAAATTTTTGTCTTAACATGGTAATAACTATTGATTAATACGACCAAACGACTTATATAATGTTCTTAAAACTATACATACTAAAAACAGTTACAAATTAAAATATTCGATTTCATATATATATATATATATATATATATATATATATATATATATATATATATATATATATATATATTGGTTGGTACGGTATTACCATGATATTCAAACTTTTGTACCATTACCGTGCTAAGCAGTTAATATCGGCGATTTCCAGGTGGGATATCGGTTATCGGTACTTTTCATAATAGCAGTGTCAAATATCGGACCGCAAAAATCGGTGATATTTACCGATATTTAACCAATATTTCCAGGTGGGATATCGATTAAGTAATTTTACTTGCTTTTTTTAGTGTTAAGTCATGGCCTTAAGTCTTATGGACTTAACTTAACTGAAAACATGATTTTGAAAAGAATTTAAATTACGCAAAAGCTATAGCTTTTGATTAAGAAATTGATGCAATATTTGTTTAGAAAAAAACAAAAACTTTCGAGAGAAAAACCATTTTGTCAAGTGTGACATCAACGGGACGGTCCTGGCGGTATATAATTTATTTAATGAGAGTTTATAAAAAAAGAATTACGAAGTCTCAATTTAATTTTGGCAAAAGACTTCTAAGCTCGGAAATATCAGGGCGGGCCTGCAAACATCCCTAAGACAACTAAAAGGATTAGAAGAAATGCAAGAAATGCAATATTTCGATGATGATGATAAAACGAAACTACATAGGAACAAGGGGCATTACCTCGAACCTTCATTCTTTTTTTTTTTGGTACCTACCTTCTATTGAAAGACAAGTTGCCAATTTGACTAAAACGGACCAAGTCTTTTTGATGTATCCATCGTTTTCTTTTTGTATTGTTTTAAAAAGGTAAATGTTACTTTGTAATTTTGTATTATGGTATGTTTGATAAAAACAGTTAGTTGTAAATTACATGGAAAATAACCTAAAGCCTTTGCAAGCTATTTAAAATAACTTTTTGATTAGAATAGTTTGGTTTTAAATAAAATATTTAAGCTTGTATTTCCAAAACGTTTCTTTTATTCAATTTTTTTTAAAAAGTTAAAGGTAAAAACTCTTCAAATTTTTTAAAAATATATATAAAAACTCGTTGCCAAATACTTATTTATTTCACAACCAATATGAAAAAAAAAACGATGTTTCAAAACAAGAAAAATGATTTTGGGACTTAAAATTAATGAGTTTTCCTATTTTTATCGCTAAACGAACGCACGACAATTGATTTTGTATTTATTCATAAGCAAATGTTTAATACTATGATGATGTTTATAAAAGAAAATATTTAAGTTATAAAATCATTTAAAATTGTAATATATTGTGTGTGTAAACATTAATTAAAAAGAAAGATATGGTGTCATGCTAGTTATGAAATCTAAACCATTTAAATAATAAATTTTAGGTGCTTATTTTTAAGTATAAAATCAACTATTAATTTTTTTTAAAAACAAGTTTAGATTAAATTAGAAGTTTAGAATCGATAGTTCTAGAAGTTTGAATTAGGATAACGTAAGTGAAATCAAAGATATCACGTTTCCAAAATGCATAATTGAAAGAAAACCTATTTCAAATCTAATATATAAGAGAAATCTCTATAATAAATAGTATCGATTTAGATTATGTTTTGTTTATTGTGAATATTCTTTTGATAATGGCCATAACTCATAAGTGATAACCCAATTTAAGCGTTGACGTAGACTTGGTTATTCTGGTGTGAACGAAGCCATAGATATTTAGATCAAGGCCTCGGGTTCCCTTTTTTCAATAATATAACCCCCAATCATTCTTTGGTTAACGATTCAAGTCAAGCATCGTTCATTCGTTCGCTTTTTGCCCCTACAAATCAGTAACCACCATCTTCCAGAGGCTTCTGCTACTACTCCGATGTCGTCCGATCTTGCGGCTAAGGCGAAGGAGGCTTTTATCGACGACCATTTCGAACTAGCCGTTGAACTCTATTCTCAAGCCATCCTCATCGATCCTAAGAACTCCGAGCTTTTCTCCGATCGTTCTCAGGCTAATATCAAACTCAAAAACTTTACCGGTATATCTCTACTCTTTTATGATCCTATTGAGAAGAAAACACTGATATCACATGTTACGGTTAAGTCTAACCTAATCTGAGATTTTCGTAATCGTCTATAGTTTGATTTCTAATTCAGATAATGCCTTTGAATTCCGTTTTTGCTTATCACTTGAGTGCGCGTGCTTTTGAGTTTCTTCGTGTCTGTGTTTGCTTTATAAGGATGTGAGATTGCAGATTAGGTTCACTTGATGTATTTTGTATGTAGTTCATTAAGATATTCGGCGCCCTTTATGGGCACATACAAATATTATTGTGAACCATCATCTTATGATATGTTGACTTGCTCGGATATGCAATTGATTGGAATATTATATCCAATTGATTGGAATATTGTATGTAGTTCATTACGATATTGGGCGCCCTTTATAGGCACATACTAATATTATTGTGAAACATCATCTTATGGTATGTTGATTTGCTCAGATATGCAATTGATTGGAATATTATATGGACCATGGGTTGGTTTGCAATAGGTTTAACTTGTATGTATTATCTGCTTACTTCTGTTGAAATTGTTATTCTCTTTGGTGTTTACCTAATAACAAATTACTATTTTCTTTTTCTTCGAGGGAGCAGAAGCTGTTGCTGATGCAAACAAAGCAATTGAACTGGATTCCTCAAATCCTAAGGCATATTTACGCAAAGGGTGAGTTTGTTTGAACAACTCATGTTAATTCCTATCTAGTCTCTCAACTCGACATTTATGTTTATTGTATTTGTATCACTTGTATTGGTTAAATAGAAGGATTTAACTGCACTCTCCAAATGCTGCCCCTGCTGCTAACCCATGCCAATTTTGTGAATGTGTTGTTGTTTTTGTATGTTTGAACATGTGGTAACTTTTTGTATCCTGTTTTACAGGACAGCATGTTTCAGTCTTGAAGAATATCAGACTGCCAAATCAGCCTTTGAAGCTGGCTCTACATTTGCCCCAGATGATACAAGATTCACAGATTGGATTAAAAAGTGTGACAAGTGCATTGCAGGTAATTAAATATTCATAGGCATGCTAACATCAATGGAATCTGATTTTTGATATCATCACTAAAAGGGACATTGTTGGTTTACAAGATTACATCATAAGTTATTAAGCTTTAAGTGTACATCTACATGCTACTGCCTTTCTCATTTGTGTTTCACTTTTTCAACAGAGGAAAATGGTGAGCTACCAACACAGTCATCAGATGTAACCCCTGTGACTTCTAATTCTCATCAACTAGAAAAAACCGATGCAACTACAAAAGATGCTGAAGAAGAAAAGAATATATCTAGCAGGTCATCACAACAACACCAC